CTCTTGACAGGTCAGTTCTGGGCCACAGAGGCCCTTTGCCCATCCCTGCCCTTGCCAGTTATTAATTTATCTGGAAAAATCAATCTGTACTGGGAATGGAGGTTAGGTCAGAGGAGCCAGGTAGATAAAATATTTCAAAGAGAATAGTTACTGTAACATATGCAGACCAATGCTAGGTAATGATTCAGAATCATGAATTGCTCTTGACAGGTCAGTTCTGGGCCACAGAGGCCCTTTGCCCATCCCTGCCCTTGCCAGTTATTAATTTATCTGGAAAAATCAATCTGTACTGGGAATGGAGGTTAGGTCAGAGGAGCCAGGTAGATAAAATATTTCAAAGAGAATAGTTACTGTAACATATGCAGACCAATGCTAGGTAATGATTCAGAATCATGAATTGAATGTCCATTTGATGTTCTGGGAGTTAGTCAACAGACCTTAGCCAGTATTCTGGAAAGCAACAGTCACTGAAGTGCACAATGCCATTTAACCTAATGATTTGAGGCAGTTTCTTGCTGTTACTGCAGGTTGTCCCATAAATGATCTGAAGCCTGGCTAGAGGAAGGAATCCAGAATGGTCCCAGTAAATTCCATGGACTGGGTAGAAGTGAGAGAGCGCACCTTAAATTAGCATGAATTAAGCTAAATAATTGAAAACTATGGATAAGGTGCTGGAAGCTGTCTGGTGATATCCCTCTCAGAAACCAATTGTCCAAGAACAGGTAAACATGTATTCCCTGGTGGCTCAGATGGGCTTCCACTATTGCCAAGAATGTAGGGAATATTCTGGGGACCTTAGTATAGGTAGGCCAAAACGTAATATGTTGTATAAAATGAGTAGCTCTTTCATGTGCTGCAGAGAGTCACAGGATATTAAATAGATTTAATTATTAACCAATGTAAGTTATTCATAGAATCCTAGAACCGGAAGGGACCTCAAGAAGTCATCAAGTTCAGCTCCCTGCCCTCATGGCAGGAACAAGCACTGTTTAGATCATCCCTGACAGCTGTCTGTCTACCCTGCTCTTAAATATCTCCAGAGATGGAGATTCCACAACCTCCCTAAGCAATTTATTTCAGTGTTTAACCACCCTGTCAGTTAGAAAGTTTTTCCTAATGTCCAACCTAAACCTCCTTGCTCCAATTTAAGCACATTGCTTCTTGTCCTATCCTCAGAGGCCAAGGAGAACACTTTTTTCTACCTCCCCGTTACACTGTTTTAGATATTTGAAAACCACTATCATGTCCCTTTTCAGTCGTCTCTTTTCTAAACCAAACAAGCCCAATTGTTTCAGTCTTCCCTCATAGGTCATGTTTTCTAGACCTTTAATCATTTTTGTTGCTCTTCTCTGGACCTTCTCCAATTTCTCCACATCTTTCTTGAAATGTGGTGCCCAGAACCGGACACACTACTTCAATTGAGGCCTAGTCAGCACAGAGTAGAGCAGAAGAATGACTTCTCGTGTCTTGCCCACAACACTCCTGTTAATGCATTCCAGAATCATGTTTGCTTTTTGGGGGGGGGGGAGGCAAAAAGGGTAACATGTTTAACTTGTGGCCCACCATGATCCCTAAATCCCTTTCAGCAGTACTCCTTTCTAGACAGTCACTTCCCATTCTGTGGGCATGAAACAGATCGTTCCTTCCTAAGTGGAGTACTTTGCATTTGTCCTTATTAAACTTCATCCTGTTAACCTCAGACCACTTCTCTAGTTTGTCCAGATCATTTTGAATTTTGACCCTATCCTCCAAATCACTTGCAACCCCTCCCCAGCTTGGTATCATCTGCAAACTTAATAAGCGTACTCTCTATGCCATCATCTAAAACACTGATGAAGATCACGAACAGAACCGGTCCCAAAAAGTTAATCAATCAGGATGCTTTTCACTACACTATTAAAAAATTGTAGTTGATATTGGTCAGTCATTTTTCTGTGAGAATATTATACATATCAAAACAGCAAATGAAACAGTGAATTCACACTATTTCTGGCTTTTCTGGACAAGATTGATTGCTAATTTGGCTCCTGAACCACTGGGGTTTAAGTGTCACTGTTCTAAAGAGAAAGTAATGGAGACTGCTGTCACCACTCCAAGTGAGTCAGAAAATTAATTTGTTTAGTTCATGCCCATTCAGGATAGAATGCATTCTGTCTATTCTTTTGTGTACAAATAATAAGAATAGAAATCTCACCCTCTGAACACCTGAGGTGGTATTCCCTATGGCTCCTATTTTAAGTACTGAATCCACATCTTTTCTCGGTTATCTCATAAGATGGGTCCCTACAAAAAGTCAGGAATAATATGGAGTAACCTTGGTAATCTCAGATACTCACTGGCCTACAGTAATCCCAGCCCATGGCTGCAAAGACGCAAAAGTGACAACCACAAACAGCAGTGAGAAGGATGCTCTGGTCAGATTAGGACCTGGCTCTCAACTTGAACATCAAACTTGTTAGGAAAATGCAGCATAGGGCTTCCTTGCAGAAATAAGACTTCCCTTTAGAAGTGAAATCAGCAGACATCTGTTGCTGATTTAAGAACTACTCGAAAGTTTTCTCCTGGTAGCGGATGTATCATCAATACCCAGTATTGTCTTAAAATCCTTTAGGGTTTGCCAGCAACTCATCAGCAGGTGAACTAAATGTGTCTGATCTTTTCAAGGGGAGATTTTATATACTATAGTTTTCTCTGAGAAATCCTAAACATTATAATCAGGATAGTTCTTCCCATGGCTGCTGTAAAAGGCTGCTGTATCAGAAGAATCTAAGATTGTTTGAGGAAGAAATATTGGTTGCTATTTGTCCACCTGAACTGAGACACATCAGACCAGGCCTTTCTTAGGACGTTGTCAACAAAGAATGAGGCAGAGTGCCATATCAGGTTTTCTTATACAGGCAGTCCCCGGGTTACGTACAAGATAGGGACTGTAGGTTTGTTCTTAAGTTGAATCTGTATGTAAGTCGGAACTGGCGTCCAGATTCAGCCGTGGTTGAAACTGATCAGTTTCAGCAGCGGCTGATGCCAGTTCCGACTTACATACAGATTCAACTTAAGAACAAACCTACAGTCCCTATCTTGTACGTAACCCGGGGACTGCCTGTAAATCCTAGAAGTCCTGGACTGGGAAGACACTAGCAGTAAGTACCTACTCATGTAGATGAAACAACATGTTGCCATTATGGCAGAGACTGTGGCCAAGATGTGTTTTAGACACAGTGAGAAAAAAAGGCTTCTGAACACCTAGGCTACGTCTACACTGGCACCTTTTTCCGGAAATGCTTAAAACGGAAAACTGTTTCGTTTTAAGTTTTTCTGGAAAAGGAGCGTCTACACTGGCAGGCTGCTTTTCCAGAAAAGCCCCTTTTCTGGAAAAGCATCTGTGGCCAATGTAGACGCGCTTTTCCAGAAAAGAGCCCTGATCGCCATTTTCGCGATCGGGGCTTTTTTCCGGAAAAGACTACTGGGCTGTCTACACTGGCCCTTTTC